CCCCCAAGCCGGCTGCTGCTGAAACTGATCAGCAGCTGATTCCAGGAAGCCCAGGGCAGAGCAGCTCTGCCTCGGGCTTCCTGTAGTCAGCCGCTGTTCAATTTCAGCACTGCTGACTTGGGAACGCTTGGGGTAGAGCAGCTCGGGTGCTGCCGGGGTGGTCCCCGCAGTGCTGAGGTGCGGCGCTGGGGGCGCTGCGGGGACCTACCGGGCAGTGCCCCAGCTGCTCTGTCCCGGGCATCCAGATTCAGCCGCTGTTGAAACTGATCAGCAGCTCTGCCTCGGGCTTCCTGCAGTCAGCCGCTGGTCAGTTTCAACAGCAGCTGAATCTGGACACCAGTTCTGACTAACATACAAATTCAACTTAAGAACAAACCTACAGTCCCTATCTTGTACGCAACCCAGGGACTGCCTGTATTCCTGATGTACAACGCCGGGAGGGTTTTGGCTGATGCCTTTCTCCATGAAGTTGATATATTTATGCAATCTAGCTGGGTGCAGGATGCCACATATGGCTGCACTGAGTGGCAACAGCACCTAGGGGGTTTGCCGCTTATCACTAGCAAAGCATTGAGAAAGACAGCTCAGATTGGAGAGAGTTAAGGGTGCACAGCGGATCCAGAGTTCAAGGCTTCACCCCAACGATCCCATCACAATCTGCACTCAAGAAAAGCCCAGGATCTGAAGGTCAGGACTGAGATAGCAGACCTACAGGGGAAGCTTGTTTGATATCTTTCCCTTCATCCCTGAATCTCAGGAATATTATTAACTCCTCACTTGCATGAACACATAATTGACCCAAAATATTTTTTAATATAGAAGAAAGGGAAAAGCAATTGAGTAGAATAAAGACTTTGGAAGAACAGTAGAAAGGTAGCAGAGAATTCCATGTCTAGGAATATTCTACTTTTTACTATTAGGGCAGATATATTCACAATTCTATGCATTCACCGCTGTTCTATCACTCGTTTGACGCCCTGGATTATGACAAAAAACAGTTTTCTAAATCACTTTCCTACTTAAAACGAGGACTCAGCAATACCCAGAAATTAGTCAGTTTACCTATTCTCATCATTCTTGGATGTGAACTGATTGTACAGTGTGGTTGCTCGTCTGTCCACTCCATTAGAGGCAGAGATGCTGGCATTTTGTTCATCACCCAGACCACTGTCTGGTAGATGCAGCAAAGATCTCTTCTGATAGGAATGTGGATTAGGAGATGATATCCCTGATGAGCCAGAAGCATGTCTTCGTGGCTAAAAAGGAAGATAAATGAGAACGTTTGAGAGAGAGGCTTAGCCAAGTTCAGAACTTAGAATTTTTCTAAAATGTGACTACCCGCTGAATTAATTAAGAGAACTGCTAAAATTAATACATTATAAATAATATTACAGCAAAAACAAACAAAAAGCCCTAAACCACAAAATTCACAACTATGTTGCTAACCCCCACAGTCCATAATTTGCATTTAATGTTTTAATAGTAGAGAACTGTAGTTTGTTTCAAAAGACTTCTGTATTTTTACTAAATATATTCAAGAACATACAGCATATTGTGAAATATTAAAAAACTATTAATATAAAATAAATTAAATTATATTTTATAATGCCACTGCCTTTTAAAAAATAGTGTTTGATCATAATTTGGCTAATTAGGAAAAATTGGTAATGAGCTTCCCAGTCATTAGTCCAAATTAGTGAGAAAACTATTGTTTATTCCTTCTAATTATTTTCCACAGTGTTAGCTGAAAAGTGCTTTGAACAGTTCAGAAGCTGATGTTTAAATTTTATTTGGGTAGAGCTAATTTTCAGGTTTTAACATGGTAAATTGTGTTGATTATGGCATCATTTTAGAAATATAACTTAGATTTACATAAATCTACATTTAAAGGTCATTGTACTCTGATATAATGGATCCTTAGGTTTTATTGGTGTGTTTTGATTAATTTTTAGATGGCACCGCTACTGCAGGTAGACAGTTGAGTACTTCAAAAATGATTTGTTAAAACATTTGTTTTTATTCCCAGGAATCCTGGTAAGGATAAAAATGACTGTAAAAGGTATGGATTATTTTTGTTTTAGATTTTTTTGAGCTCACATAAAACACAGCATATGTTTTAAAATAAATAATTTGCTCTCAGAGATTTGTCAACTTTCTAAGGGTATGTCTACACTACAGCGCTAATTCAAAATAACTTAGTTCGAATTAGTTAATTCGAACTAAGCTAATTCGAACTAACGCGTCTAGAACTAAAAACCAGTTCGAATTAGCGTTTTGCTAATTCAAACTAGCATGTCCACATTAAGTGGACCCTGAACAGGGCTTAAGGATGGCCGGAAGCAGTGCCGGCAGGGCATCAGAGGAGGACTTAGAACGTGGAGATGCTGTCTCAGGCTAGCCGAGGGCTGCGCTTAAAGGGTCCCATCCCCCACCCCGGACAGACAGTTCTCAGGGGTGCCCCGCTTGCAAAGCAGTCCTGGCTTGGAGTGCCCGGACTACCCACACTGGGCACATCACACCACTCGGCCATCAGCCCGGCTGCACTTGCTGCATGCTGCCATCTGGGGAGAGAGGGAAATTGGGGGGCTGCAGGAGAGCTTCGACCCCCAGAAGCCCACAGAGCCAGCCCAGTCCTCCCCATCGGGGGCTCGTACCCCATTCCTCCCTCACCTCCTTCCACTTACCCTTCCCTAGCCCCTTTTCTTGATGTACAAAATAAAGGACAATTGTGTTCAAAAATGGAATCTGTCTTTATTGAACAAAACTGGGGGAGACTGGGAAAAGGAGGTGGGAGAGGGGAAGAGAGAGGCTGGGAGAGGGGAGGGCAACTAAAATGATCAGGGGTTGGGAACAAGTCCCATATGAAGAAAGGCTAAACAGACTGGGACTTTTCAACTTAGAAAAGAGGAGACGGAGGGGGGACAGGATAGAGGTCTCTAAAAGCAGGAGTTGGGTGGAGAGGGTGC